CCGGTACCGCCCGGGCCTCCCCCGCCCCAGTCCGGGCCGGGCCGCACTCACGTCGGCGGGGGCTCCGCGGGGGAAGCGGAGATCGATGACGGCGACTCCGGGCCGCGCCGGTTCGGTCCCCCCGCCCAGCTGGAGCGCGGCGGCGGGGCGGGGGGCGCAGGGCAGCGGGGTCCGGCCCGGCCCCTGCCCCGGCCCCGCCGCTCCCGACATGGCGGCGCAGCGCGGCCGCCCTTCCTGGGCGGGGCCAGCAGCGTGCATCGTGACGCACGCACGCACGCCGCGCCCACCGGAAGCGGAAGCCCCCCACAGTAGCACCGGTAGAGGGCGCCGCCATCACGGCGGTCTCCCGGTGTCCTCCCCCGCCCCGTCCCGTCCCGTGGCGGCGGCAGAGGCAGGGCTGTGGTAGAGCAGACGGTTTATTGACTCCACACCTTCCTTTACACAACGCGGACGCCGGTCTCTCGCTTCCCCCCGGGGCTGGCACCGAGGGGTCCCCCGCAGGCCGGGCCCCGCCACCCAGGCTCTCACCCGGTGCTGAGGGAACCGGGTGTGTGTGTGTGTGTAACGGCTGGGTGTGCGCGGGGGGCCTGTAGGGGCTACAGACCCCTACGGACTCCTAGGGATCCCTACAGATCCCTACAGACCCCCCCTTCGCTTCTCCTCCCCCCAGAGAACACCCAGGGAAAACACCAATTAATAATCCGTGCTTAAAAATGGGTTCTAGCGTGACAGAGAGGTAAAAATAATAGCGATAAAGTGAAGGGAGGGGCTGGGCCCGGAGCCGGCACTAGGAAACTGAAGCTGGTAGGGACTGCTGGCAGTTGGACCGGTTTATAAGTCTTTTTTTTTCTTTTTTCTTTTTTTTTTTTAATAAACAATCAGAGGCTGTATCAAAAAATTTAGTAGAAAATAAGATTTGAGAGAGTTCACTGATTTTTTTTTTCACTATTAACTATTCCCGGCGCTTTTTTTTTCTTTTTTTTTCCCCCTTTTTATTTTATTTTTTTTTTTTTTAAACTTTTTAAACTTTTCCAACAGCATCCGGGCCTGGAGCAGCTGGGAGGGGGCTGTTCCAGCACCGCTCTCCGGGAGGAGTTCTGAGGCAAAGAGATGGCATCGGGCTTTGCGAGAAAACACCCCACCGTCGCCAAAACACCTCGTGGGGATTTTTATTTTTTTTTAAACTTTTCCAACAGCATCCGGGCCCGGAGCAGCTGGGGGGGGGCTGTTCCAGCACCGCTCTCCAGGAGGAGTTCTGAGGCAAAGAGATGGCACCGGGCTTTGCGAGAAAACACCCCACCGTCGCCAAAACACCTCGTGGGGAAAAGGGGTTTTGCCTCAAAAAAAAAAAGACCACTCTGACCCCAGCACAGCGCTTGCACCTCGGGGTGCAGCCAAAGGTACCCCAAGCCAGTCTGACTCAACTGATGACTATTTTTAAGATGCGTGAGAAAAAGAGGATTTCTTTGATTAAAAACATGATTATTAAATCATAGTAATAGAAGAATCAAACCCCAAACCAAGAAGCTGATCCCCCCAAGGAGGAGGAGGAGGAGGAGGAGGAGGCTGGCTGGCCTCAAAGGTCGTCCCCCCAAAAAAGCCAGCCCCGAATCACCCCTGGAGCTCGCCTGCAGGCACAGCACTGCCCTCCCCTTCCCCCCCCCAAAAATCTACACATCCCAGTTTAGGTAAACAGCAGATTAAATGTAAAAACTTAAAACATCGACTTCAGAAAGTCCCTTGAATTTAATTGTTTTTAGGCTACCTTTCATGTTACGTCCTGTAGCTAGACACACGTGAATAGAAAAAACAGTACAGTTAGTGTTAAAGGCAAACAGCGGAGACCCAGAGTGCTACCCCAGTGCTGCCTGCTCCTCCCGTCCCGTCCCGTCCCCATCCCTGTCCCCGTCCCCCCTCCCTGCCCGCCGCCCCGGCCCCCGCCAGAAGCCCAGCCGCCGGGAAGGCGTGTTTGAGCCGAGAATTTTTTCTTCTTTTTTTTTTTTTTTTTCCTTTTTTTCTATGAATAAAATAAAACCAAAGCTTGTTAGGCAAAAACAAAAAACAAGTGTGTCCCCCCCCCAGTCCCACGAACGCTCCAGTGCGGCGGGCACAGCCGGGGGGGAGGGCCTGCTGGGGAGCGGGCTGGGGTTTGGGGTTCCCGGCTGGCGAGGGGGGCTGCCGGCCCACAGACAGCACTGGCGTGGAGCTGGAGGCCCCTTCTCCCCCCGAGAGCCTTCCCGTTCATTAAGGGGGGACGTAGGGTGGCGGGGACCTGTAGGGGGTCATGTTCTTCGGGCGGGAGCCTTTCCCCTCCATGGGTGCGGTGAAGGGGGGGGGAGGCTGGTAGGGCGGCGCGTTGGGGTCCTCGTCCCGCAGCGGCGTGTACTCCCCGATGGTGTCCTGGTTGAGCGGCGTGGTCTCCGGCATGCTCTGGTTGGGGTACTCTGGTGGGGGCAGCGGGGCTTTCTCCTCCTGGAGGATGAGGGGCATGCTGGAGGACGGTGGTGGTTTGGAGTCGTCCAGCTCGTCGGCGAAGATGATGGGCACCCCTTTCTTGATGAAGGTGGCCTGGTCTTCGATGGTCAGCTTCCCTTTCCTCTTCTTGCGGTAGCAGATCATGGCGATGATGCCGGCCACCAGGAGGATGGCGGCCACCACCACGGCGGGGATGACAGTGTGGAGGTACACGTCGTCCTCGCTGCTCTTCTCGGGGTCTTTGCCAGCCACCACCGTCGGCGTTGCCTCCGAGATCACCCTGCCGTCCTTCGTCACGGGGATGAACTGGATGTGCCTGCAGCTGCCGGAGCCCACCACCGACACGTTCAGAGGCTTGAACTCGGGCTGCAAGACGTTTGAGAAGGCCAGGCTCGGCCCACCGGAGTCATCCGCAATTTTTTTGCTCAAAGTCCGGATCTGCTCCCGGGGGCAGGGCTCCAGGGAGCGTGCATGGATTTAAGTGTATGCAGACTGTTGTGTGAGGTTATATGGGATTTACCATGACAAAAACATTGAATCCCAGATGTTATAACCTTGTTTTTTTTTTTTTTTTTTCCTTTTTTTCTATGAATAAAATAAAACCAAAGCTTGTTAGGCAAAAACAAAAAACAAGTGTGTCCCCCCCCCAGTCCCACGAACGCTCCAGTGCGGCGGGCACAGCCGGGGGGGAGGGCCTGCTGGGGAGCGGGCTGGGGTTTGGGGTTCCCGGCTGGCGAGGGGGGCTGCCGGCCCACAGACAGCACTGGCGTGGAGCTGGAGGCCCCTTCTCCCCCCGAGAGCCTTCCCGTTCATTAAGGGGGGACGTAGGGTGGCGGGGACCTGTAGGGGGTCATGTTCTTCGGGCGGGAGCCTTTCCCCTCCATGGGTGCGGTGAAGGGGGGGGGAGGCTGGTAGGGCGGCGCGTTGGGGTCCTCGTCCCGCAGCGGCGTGTACTCCCCGATGGTGTCCTGGTTGAGCGGCGTGGTCTCCGGCATGCTCTGGTTGGGGTACTCTGGTGGGGGCAGCGGGGCTTTCTCCTCCTGGAGGATGAGGGGCATGCTGGAGGACGGTGGTGGTTTGGAGTCGTCCAGCTCGTCGGCGAAGATGATGGGCACCCCTTTCTTGATGAAGGTGGCCTGGTCTTCGATGGTCAGCTTCCCTTTCCTCTTCTTGCGGTAGCAGATCATGGCGATGATGCCGGCCACCAGGAGGATGGCGGCCACCACCACGGCGGGGATGACAGTGTGGAGGTACACGTCGTCCTCGCTGCTCTTCTCGGGGTCTTTGCCAGCCACCACCGTCGGCGTTGCCTCCGAGATCACCCTGCCGTCCTTCGTCACGGGGATGAACTGGATGTGCCTGCAGCTGCCGGAGCCCACCACCGACACGTTCAGAGGCTTGAACTCGGGCTGCAAGACGTTGGAGAAGGCCAGGCTCGGCCCACCGGAGTCATCCGCAATTTTTTTGCTCAAAGTCCGGATCTGCTCCCGGGGGCAGGGCTCCAGGGGCAACGTGTTGTTCGTCCATTCCACTACGATGGAGCCTTTGGTGATGTCCTGCACCGTGATGGTGCTGCTGTTCCTGTCGCCAAACGCCAGAGCCAGCTTCTTCACCAGCATGATCTTCTTATTGATGTCGTTCACCACCGCGTTGTGGTCCCCTTCCAGCCTGGCCTTGAACTTCACCGGAGACTTGTCTCCGTGCGGGCGTTTGTGGACGTGGATCTCGAAAGCGTCCACAGCGAAGAGCCCACCTTTGTCGGTCGCGTACATGAAGTACTCGTGCTTCCCGATGTGGTTGTGGTCGGGCATGCCGTACATGAGCTGGCTGGTGCTGTTGAACTGCACCCACGAGTTCTCCTCTATCATCTGCTGCTCCTTCAGCTTCAAGGTCAGCTGCAGTTTGTCCGTGGTGGTGTCTTCTTTGTCGTAGAAGGTGTCCGACGGTATTTTAACCTCGAAGTAGGTGCCCTCCCACGCGTCCACCCTGTCGATGTGGTTGGTCAGCTTGGGTGGCTCGTTGGGCTCCCAGGGCCGGGGGAGGCCACTGGCTGTGGTGCGTACACGGGTCGGAGGGGAGGCCGTTGTCAGCTTGGAGATGGGGGACCTGGTCGTGCTGGGAGGCTTCGTCGGACGGGGCGTTTTGGGTCTCCGAGTGGGCCTTCGCGTCGTCGCCGTGGAGGAATCCGTGGTGGACGGCGTGGCTGGCTTCAGAGTGGAGACTCTGGGTTTCTTGGTGGTGGTTGTGGGCGGCGTGATCACCGCCGTGGGCTCTACGTACCCGGGCATCGTGGGGCGAATTGGCACGGAGGCCGTGCCAGTGCCTTCTGCTACCCTGGTTGGCTGGATGGGTCCCAGAGTGGGGGTCTGGACGATGGGGCCCCTCGTTCTGATGGTGACTGTAGGCTTCCTCGGCAGCGGTATGGGCTCCCGGACAGGAGGTGCTGTTGTCTCTGTGGGTGGCGCGATGGCGGGTGACGTCGGGGTGGGGACGATCCTGGTTGGTGGCTCTTGCGCGGCAGTGGTGGGTGGCCCGATGGCAGTCAAAGGCGTGGGGGTGGCGTTGATCTGCCGCCGCATCCTCTTTGGGAGGTGAGGTTTCTTGTTAGCAATGTGCCAGCCAACAACAGGGTAGCCAAGGCGGGCGGACATGGTTCCTTCCTTAGCTGGAGCCTCCACCTTGCTGATGTTGGGGACACTGTTTTGGCTCAGAGAACATCCCAGTTTCCATGAGAGTAAGGCCCCGTTTTCCACCACTTTCTTTGCATTTCCCGGTCCAGCCAT